TTGAATTGTAAACAAATGGATTTGAAAATTATCAAAGAACTTTTTCAAAAATTATTAAAATTAATTTATTTAAAGTAAAATTTTTGTGAGAAATTCTAGAAAATAGTAATTGAATTGAAATGATGAAAATAATTTTGAAGAAGTAGAATATTCTTATCCTATAATATAAAATAATGATTTTATCAATTTTCCATCTTTAATTATTATAAAACATGAAGAAATTGATGACTCCGAGTTATCGATATCTTCATGTTTTATATTTATGAAAAAATTTAATTTATATTTTCAAGTAAAATGTTCTCTTATTTGACTCGGACTGGTTATATTTTTGTCTGTAATTGGTCCGCAATTTTTAATTTTTGATCCGAAAAGTCCGTATTGTTAAATACTTTCAATAGTTCGAGCCCTGGATTTCGGATAATTTATTTTTATTTCAGATATTTTAGTTCTTAGTAAATATTTTTAAAGTTGATATTTTATCCAGGAAATAAAAAATAAAAATGAAATCAACACGTACGAAATCGTCAAACTATGGATCACGTAAAGATTTATCCCGTCAACGTTCAGTCCCCTCAACGACTTCCGAATCCTCCCTCGGTAATCCAATATCACGAAAGGAAATCATAAGAAGATGTTCCAAGTCCGAGGAAGATTCCATAACCAAATACAACGGATCGTTAAGAAATCGTTGGCGTCGTCCATTCGATGCGCCAGAGAATTCTGATCTTAGTCAAAATTCCTCACTTCGTCGACCGACAACTCTACCCTCAGTTCGTCGGCGATCGACAAACAGTGAAACATCAAGTCAACCCCGCCGCATATCAAGACAAGAAATAATAAAACGTCGCTCTGATGATTTTCATTCAGAAAAGAGGAATCACACCCTAGACAATCAAAAGACATTCGTGAAAAATGTCTCCGGTTTCTCCCGATCGAAAATTCTCGCCCGAAGTCGTGAGCGCTTCGAAACATCAGATTCAAGATCAGTTTGTGATTTTGGACATGAAGAAATTGGAACTCTCGTCCCCAGGCCCTCGACACTGCCAAAGATAACAAATTCAAATAAAAATTCGAGAATTAACGAAGAATCGATTATCATAAGATCGAACAAGGATTTGGGAAAAAAAGAGGCGCCAATCTACGGGAGGATTAGACGTAAGAAAGCATCACTGCCAAACGTGTCATGCGATCAGGATGTTACGAGAAAGAGCTTGAGTCTCGATACGAGGAAACAAGCAAATTCATCTAGAGACAGTGTTTCAACCAGCGAGATATCATTTCAAAGAAAGACTTATCGTTCGATTCGTGACCCGGTGAATGATCCAGTTTACAGACCCAGGTCACTATTGGACATGGAAGAGGTGGAGCGGAAGGAAGGTGTGATTTACGGAAGAGTTGCCGCATCGCGAGACTTTCAAGGTCACGATGATAGGCGAGAATGTCTCGACAACAACGAGAGGAGAAATCCAGACGTTTGCAATGTTCATCGGCAAATGTCCCGGAGGCGTATTATTAGAAACGTTGAGGATGTTCGTGAATTTAAAACACTTGGTAAACCAAAGTCGAAAAATTTTTTAGAACCCGAAAATGAAGATGAAGTACATTCACACACTCTTCCTGGTACATCACACGATCACGAGAGAATTAAACGTCGTCGTTCGTTGATGTCGACGAATGGAAAGAAGGAGCAAATTGGTGTAAATTCGAAAACTGATCGTTTTCGTTGGTCGAGATCGATTATTGATAGTTTCGAGAGTCCGGGTACATTATTGGGTTTCTCGGGTGGTGATGAAGTTTCTCGAACTCTACCGAGTTATATGAAGAAATCACGGAATTCTTATACACCGGCGAGAATTGACTCGCGAACAAGGGAAATAAGTCAGAGTTCTGCAACATTAAAATTGACGAAGGAACGAACCAATCAAGAGCGAAAGTCAGTGTCTTCTCATGCGAAAACTTTTAGTGATGCGATTAGTGTGCGTTCAAATTCGCCTGGCATGTCTTCATCAATATTTGCATTTTGCACTGGGAAACGAAAAGTTGTCTCACGTGTTCCTACCAAGGATAAGGATCATTATTATCGTGGTCGTACTCTAAAATTGGTGCGCTTGATTTTTAATTTCATTTACAAATTGAGAACTTTTATTTTGAAAACAAAATAAATAAAATGAAAATGAATCAAAATTAAATAAATAAAATGAAAATAAATAAAAATTAAATAAGTAAAATGAAAATAAATTAAATTATGTTGGTGAAGTTTACAACGATTAAAAAGAAGAAATAATTTTCTACTCAAATTTTTGCCTTAAGAAATTTTTTACAATGTTTTTTAAGCAATAAGTTAAAAAAAATTATAACGTAAAATATTATGATTTTCTGGGTAAAAGATTGTTAACTAATAGAAAGAATTTTCTACCAATCGTTAATGATAAACGTTGTTAATTTCACCCACGCAATGAAGTTAAGACAAAAAAGGGAAAAGTAAAATTGAAAATAAATAAAATTAAATGTTCCTGAAGTTTCGAACGCTCAAAAAGGAACAATATTTTTTTTTGCTTCTTTTAACTATTTTTATTAAATATAATTTTGTACCTAAATTAGAAAATTGATTTTTAACTAAGTAAAAGTTTAATTAAAATTATTTTTCTTTTTTGTGTAGTAATTTTGAAAAATAATTAAATAGAAAAAAAATTATGTTCATTTAAACTCGTCCAAGAAGTTGGCAATGTCATTAAATTTCCAAAAAAAAACCAATATTTCTGCTGATTTATGCCACTAAATTTTTTAAATAAAAGAAGAGTTGGAAATAAAAAAACAATTTTATGTCTAAAAAAAGACAACTTTATGAAATTCTAAATCAAAAGTTTTATTAACATGAAATTAAAATCGTGATTCGATCCCAAAACATAATTAAGTGGAGGGACCGGTGAAATTTCAGCCCTTCGATAATTACGTTGTTAAAAGGGGCCAATTTTTTTTCTGGCATTATTTAGGATCTAAATTTATTCTATATAGTTAAAATAAAAAAAAAAAATTTCGGACAGTTTGAAAATATTATTTTTTGAAAAAATTAAAATTTTTAATTTTTAATTTTAAATTTTAAATTTTTTTATCCATACGATTGATTATTCAGAATCGTAAGAAAAGACAAAAAAAAATTTGTCAATGAAAAATAATAAAAAATGTGGAAGTATAGTTGAATTTTTAAAGAATACTAGTAAAATTTGAGCCAATTAAAAATGACCATTTTTAGGGGTATCAACATTTTTTTTACACTTTTCCAATACCTGAAATCATAATTACACTATAAAAAATTAATTTAAAAGTAATTTTTAACTGATTTACAATTTTTTTCTATTTTTCAAAAAATTTAATTTTTTGAAAAAATGAAAATTTTTGAAAATCTATACGATTGACTGTTCAAAATTATGAAAAAAGTATTTTAAAAAATCGGCAATGAAAATTAATAAAAATTACAAGAGTAGTTTAAATTTATATTTTTTGAAAATTTTGATATTTATTTAAAAAAATTTTAACTAGTTAACTTTTTTTAATTTTTCGAAGCATATTATAATTTAAAATACCAAAATTTATTAGAAAAAATATTAACCACCCGTAAGCAACAAAAATTTGTATGAGTTGAAATTTCACCAGTCCCTCCTCTTAATTACACAAATTATTTAATTTTAATCAATTAAACTACTAATTTAATACCAAAAATTTGCAAAAATGATTTTTTCATAATTAAATTTGTCTTAGATTGTGTTTATCTGTAACACAAAAATAAAATTGTAATACCATCTCAAAATTTCATTAATTGCACAAATTTTTCAATATTATTACTAACTACCATTAATTTAATGTAAAAAATTTGTAAAAATGACTTTTTTCATAACTAAATTTTGTTCTAAATTGTGCTAATCTAACACAAAATAAAATCATGATTCTATCACAAAATATTACTAATTTTAGAAATTTTTTAATTTTCAACACTAATCAACTTTAATTTAATACTAGAAATTTGCAAAAATTCTTTTTTTCGAAATCAAATTGTGTGCTACATTTCGCACATTTAAAACAAAAATAAAATCGTGATTCATTCACATAACAGTTTTAATTACACAAACTTTTTAATTTTATTCTTAATTAACATTAATTTAATATCAGAAAGTTGAAGAAATTATTATTAAAAAAAATATTTCTGTATTAAATAATAAAATTGATTAATGAAATTTAAAAATTTTGTTACTTTAAATAATAAACGCTTTTTTTAAATTTCTTGTAATTAGATTTTAAGAACGATTGACAATTTTATTTTTGTGCTAGATAATCAAAATTTGGAAGAAAATTTATTTATGAAAAAAGAGTCATTTTTGCGAATTTTTTATATTTAACTAATGTTAATTAGTAAAAAAATTTGTAAGTTTCGAGATTTCACAATTTATGTTTTGTGATTTTATTTTTGTGTTCATAACATTTTTTATTTAGTTGCATACAATTGGAATTTTGTTTGGAGTTAAAAATGTTTTTCAATTTTCATCTCTAAGTTCTTTGAAAACTTTTTTTTCAAATTATCACAATTTAGCATTTATTTTGCTTTTTTTTAAACTGAAACTAGAAATTTTTTTTATTTTGCATTTATGCAAAAATTTTTAAGTTTAACAATTTTTTTCTAGTGGTAAATTACCATTCGTATTTACTTAACATGATTTTTATTTAGTATCATATAGTTGGCATTTTTGGGCCTTAAAATTGTTTTAAAATTTAATTTTAATTTTTTTGAAAAATTTTTTATAACAAAAATTAGTACAATTTGGCACATATTTTTTTTGTTGAAAATTAAATATAGCTTTGGGAACTTCTTGGACGTAATTTAAACGTTTAAAACTTTAAAAGAATGAAATGAGAAAAAATGAAAAAAATTTCTTTTTCAAACTTAAGAGCTAAGAACTAGAGAAAGAGAAGATAATTTCTAAACTAACAAATAAATTTGTTTTCAGGGTGATTTGGTGTGGTTTGATCCGGGAGTCGGTCATGTTCTACCAGGCGAGGTTCTGGAGCATCACAAAGCGGCGAACGTTTTGTCAGTTCAGGCAGTCATCGCTGGAAAGGTAAAGAAAAAGAAAAATAGAAAAACATACTCTTCCCGAAGACCTGATTTAGAAATCTCTGGATGTTAAAAACTGTAGTGTGTACGAGAATGATCAATGGTGAACGGTTGACGACGTCCTCTATGTGTATGTGAGTTGAATTTACAAACCATAACGAGGATATGTAGCTCAATGGAATAGAAAATACCGCGGTCGCCTAGGTTTTAAGTTGATCTCTGCCAACGCGACGTTTGTGCTTGAGGCTAAGGAACAACCGGTTAGACTGCATTTCCTTAAAACGACGCCATATAGCCACATAGAACGACTGGAGGCGATTGCTCACTGCGTTTATGTCGTCACTAGCATTTACCATATTTTCCAATGAATGACTTCTACCATTCATTGGGAAATCTTTTTTTTTATTAACTATTAAAGCGACCATCTGTCTAACGATTCATTAACGATTTGTTTATGAATGTTGAGAATTCGCCGCGTTAATGTTTGGAGTTATGAAATCTCCATTAGACAACTTTTGCCAGGGAAATATTTGAGACATGACTGTATTTTAAGGTAGTTCACCTCTGAAAGGTAGTTGTTTGACAAAAGCTTATACTTGAAGTCAAAATTTATCAATTCTTATTAAGCCCCGTTTTTTATTAATTTCTCATTTTATTATTTTCTCATATTTCTCATTTTCTCCAAAAATTACACTTTTTATTATCTTTTCATTTTATTTTTTCGTTCTTATAAAAATGATCGTATATTTAAAAATATAATAATTATTTTCAATTTTTCGTATATTTTTCCTACTTAATTTTTAATAAGTCAATATTTTTTTCTATTCTAAAATTTTATTACTCGCAGGCTTCGCACTCATCTACTAAAACCTATTATTTACTACTTTTTTACGTTATGCTACTATTTTGGTACTTTTTTTAGATTTCAGCCACTAAAAGCTACTATTTATGTTTTTTTTTCTTTTTTGAGAATTTCCACTACTTAAAATTCGCTAATACTAGAAATCAAAAAACTATTCTCAAAAATTATAATCAAATTCTTTAAAACGATTCAATTATTTTCAAAAAAATATTCGAAATTCAATTATTTTCAATATCTAGTATTTTCATGAAATTTCGCAAAAGAATTTAATTTTTTAAAACAATTTTTGATAAAATTCTAAGCAAGAATTCAATTATTTTCATAAATAATAAAATTCATCGCAGGATTTCAATTATATTTAATACAATTTTACAAGAATTGCTCAAAAAATGTTTTTTTAAAATTCTTTGGAAGAATTTAATTATTTACAAAAATATTAGAATTTTTCACAGAAATACAATTATTTTCAAATATTTTAATAGAATCGTTCGAAAGAAATCAATTATTTTAAATACAATTTTAATTAAATTTTTTTTTAAATAATTCAATTATTCTTTTAGATTTTATTAAATTTCTTCCCAAGAATTCAATTATTTACATAAATGAATCTTCGAAAGAATTCAATTATGTCGATAAGTAACAAAATTATTCCCAAAAATTCAATTATTTTGAGGCATTTTAATAAAATTTTTTGCAAAATTCTATTATTTTCATAAATAACAATATTCATCATATGAATTCAATTATTGTTAAAAATTCTTTAGAGAATTTAATTATTTACAAAAATATTAGAATTTTTCACAGAAATACAATTATTTTCAAATATTTTAATAAAATTGTTCGAAAGAAATAAATTATTTTAAATACAATTTTAATTAAATTTTTTTTAAAAATAATTCAATTACTCTTTTAGATTTTATTAAATTTCTTCCCAAGAATTCAATTACTTACATAAATGAATCTTCGAAAGCATTTTAATAAAATTTTTTGCAAAATTCAATTATTTTCATATAAATAACAATATTCATCACATGAATTAAATTATTTTTAAAAATAATAAATTTCTTCTTATAAAATTCAATTATTTTTAAAAATTCTAATAAAATCGTTCACGAGAATTCAATTATTTTCATAAATAATAAAATGCTTTTTAGGAATTGGATTATTTTCAAAAAAAATTTAAAAATTTTCCAAACAGAATTCAATTATATAAAAAAAAATTTTGTAAAAATCTTCGTAAGAATTCAATTTTTTTTCATGAGTGATAAAAATTTCTCAGGAATTCAATTATTTAAATTGAAATTTGCATAAAATTAGTTGAAAGAAATCAATTATTTATAGAATTCTTCGCAAGAATTAAATTACTTTTATAAATATTTAAATTCTTCCATGAATTATAAAATTCGTTGCAGGAATTTAATTTATTATCAGGATGAGAAAGAAGTAATAATATTTTTAATAAAAATTAGGAAAAAGTCAGGAAAATAAAATATAGAATGGAATTTTTGTCAGTTTTGTGAAGTGTCTAAAACGAGTTTTTTTGGTCGTCAAGTTTAATTTTTTGATAGCTACTTTTTTACTACTTTTTTTAGTTTTAGTGCTACTTTTTGCTACTTTTTTAAAATTAATTATCCAGTGCGAATAAACAATAAAATTTTTTAAAAAGATTTAATTATTTTCGTAAATACTAAAATTCTTTTTAGGAACTCAATGATTTTCATAAATAATAAAACTCATCGCAGAATTTCAATTATTTTTAACACAATTTTAATCGAATTTCTCGAAAAATGCAATTATTCCTAAAAATTTTATTAAAATTCGTCCAAAAAATTTAATCATTTAAAAATTTGTTGGCAAAATTCTTTATGAGAATTGAATTTTAAGAATCATTTAATCATTCAATAAATTACAGTACCGTCCGAAATTGTCAGTCCACCCATTTTCAAAGGAATGACAAAAATTTTTTAACATAAAATTCATGAAAAGTAAAATTTTTTTGGTTTATATTTTGAAAGACGATAAAATTTTGAAAAGAATAAGACCTTACAGAAGTCATTTGGCCAAAATTTGTAGAAGATATTCTTAAAAATCGTCATTTTCAATGTTTTACAAAAATTTGAATAACTTCTAAAATAATGAACGCTTTTTAATAATCTTAGGCTTATTTTAAAGACCATTTTCTACAGAATAAGAATTACTTATAGGCATTAACCTGCAATTTTTAACTTGGAATAAGCATGACGTCAAAGTTGGACAAAAAAATTCAAAAAATTTGAAATAATATTATTAAAAGAAAAATAATTTTTGAAATTCAAACATATATTTTTATTAAATTTTCTTGAAAAATCTACACCATATCATGTTTTATATATGTTCTAGAATAGTTTTTAGTACAAAAAATTAATTTCAAATTTTTCCAATTTTTTTGTCTAATTTTGACGTCATGCTTATTCCAAGTTAAAAATGACAGGTTAATGCCTATAAGTAATTCTTATTCCGTAGAAAAAGACCTTTAAAATAAGCCTAAGATTATTAAAAAGCGTTCATTATTTTAGAAGTTATTCAAATTTTTGTAAAACATTGAAAATGACGATTTTTAAGAATATCTTCTACAAATTTTGGCCAAATGACTTCTGTAAGGTCTTATTCTTTTCAAAATTTTATCGTCTTTCAAAATATAAACCAAAAAAAATTTTACTTTTCATGAATTTTATGTTAAAAAATTTTTGTCATTCCTTTAAAAATGGGTGGACTGACAATTGCGGACGGTACTGTATTTATTTTTATATTTAAATAATAGAATTCTAGTAGAATTTCCTCATAAAAATTATGATTTAAAAATAAATTTCAGATAAAATTTTAGATAATAAAAGAATATTCAAACATATCATGGCTCATATCATAGCTTTTTTCCCAGGTGCATCGGACCCTTAATAATTGAATATTAAAAGCATAAAAGCGTGAGTTTTTGGAAATAATTAAATTTTGAAATTAATTTTTTTAAGTTTAATTGCTGATTTTTTTGAAATTATTTAGAGTTTTTATTTTCTAATATATATTTAATTGAAGAATTTATGAATAATGGAAATTTCGTAAAATTTAATATTGTAAACAAATGAATTTGAATATTGTCAAAGAACTTTTTCGAAAATTATTAAAAATAATTTATTGAAAGAAGAATTTTAGTTAAAAATTGTAGAAAATAATAATTGAATTGAAATGATGAAAATAATTTTGAAGAAGTACAATATTTTTATAATATAAAATAATGATTTTATCAATTTTCCATCTTTAATTATTATAAAACATGAGGAAATCAATCCTTTTTATTCCTTCATGTTTTATAGTTATGAAAGAATTTAATTTATATTTTTAAGCAAAATTTTCTTTTGATTTGACTCGGACTTGTTATATTTTTGTCAGTAATAATTGGTCCGTAAATGGTCCGTAATTTTTCATTTTTGGTCCGAAAAGTCCATATTTTTAAATACTTTCACTGGTTCGAGCCCTGCGAAAGACAAATTCTATTTATTTGTATTTTTGTAGAATTTATCATAAATTTAAAAATTCCCTTCTTAACTTAATATTGAATAAGAAAGACACTAATTTTTAAAATTTTCAAATCGTCTGGTTTTTTTATTGACACTTATAATCAGAGTAATTTCCGTAAATCAGCAATTTTATGGATTTTTTAATAAGAAACAACTTTTTCTTCTTTTGAAATAATTTTTTATACCCAATAATAAAACAAAGATAGTAAAAATAATTTTTATTGTTTGTAATTTCTTCTTTGAACTTTTGATTAAGACTGTATCAGGTGAACTACCGTAATACGTTTTGTTTACAAATCTCTGGAATTTACATCTGTAAATGGAATTTATACGCTCTAATTCGTATCTCTATAATCGGCTACTCGTCTCGTTAAATTGGACTTCACTTGTGCAAGTTAACTTTTTTTTTGCGAGTTTCCACTCACTAATTTTAATCAATTAAACCAAGTGGAAATTTCAGTTGAATAACGTCCATACGCATTCTTGGCGATTTGAATTCTTTATTATTGCCTAATAGCCGAGTGTTTATGTGAATCTTTTATATTTGTTGGGAATGTGAAATATTCAACTTCACAAAGAATATTATTGACT